CCCTAAGCCAGACGCAACTTCACACAACAATTTTTTGAAAAAGCGGGCAAAACACCCCCACAATATATAGTGCGACACAACACCGCCCCCACACTATTGCCCATAACACACCTTCAATATCAATTTTGCTCTATCCAATATCACACAACAATTTTTTGAAAAAGCGGGCAAAACACAATTTTACCAAACCCCACAATATACAGTGTGACACAACACTGCCCCCACACTATTGCCCATAACACACCTTCAATCTCAAGCATGCTCTATCCAATGCAAATTTTGCTTTGTTAAATTTTTAATCTTCGTTATGTATGATTCAATTTTAAACCAACAAAAAAGCCATTTTATTTTTGAGTAATTTCATAATTCATTTCAACAAAATGTATTTTATATTGCTTGTAATTTGGAGTTGCAAATTAATATCCATTGGTTAAGTATCTAATATTTTCTTTAAACTGTAGGTTAAGGGATGATTTATGTGGAGAGCTTCCAGTGGCATTTGTAGTGCTATCAAATGGCCATGAAGTCACAGAGGACGAGATAAAACAATATGTTTCCAAGCAGGTAATAAGAATTTGTTTCACATATGTTTATGAGATTTAATTTCACTTTCAAGATAGCTACTTCTTAATTAAGAAATTGAACTATAAAATTCTGATATATTTGCATTTGTGATTGATTTTTCTAGGTGGTTTTCTATAAGAGGATACATAAGGTTTTCTTTGTAGAGGTTATCCCAAAATCGCCATCTGGCAAGATCTTAAGGAAGGATCTGAGGGCGCGGTTGGAAGAGGTTGCCCTGCATAATCGAGCACTGTGATGCTAATCTAGTTGTCAGTTTGATATGTGCTTGAATTTTCTTTGATATACATGTGAATGTGTGGAGGGAGAAAGGAGTCAACTTCTTATTTGAAATTTGGAATTGATTAGGGTGTACTTGCACATAATGAAAATCTAAATAACTTTTAAACTTTTTTGTGTACATGTTTTTATTTTTATTTGTGATGTCTTTTTTTATAATGAAATTTTTTTATCATGTTATAGTATAAATTAAATAATTTGAATTTATAATGTAAATTGTAATATTATTCTAGGTTTTACTATAGATTTATGTTAAGGTTTGTTGAAGGCTTGAATAAGGATTTTAAGTTAAGATTTATTTAAAGGTTTTTGTTTTGGAGAAAGGTTTTAATTTTTTGTTTATTAAAAGATTATTTCTATTTTTATTAAGTTTTGAGGGTTTCAATCTTTTTATTGAGGGTTTTAAGTTTATTAGATTTTAGTTTTAGTGGAATGGATTTCAATTTTAATTTTTAAAAGAGGGTGTTTAAGCTTTTTTTCAAAAAGGGGCTAGTTTTGATTAATTCTTTAGAAGTTTTTATTCAAACACTTTTAAAGGAGGTTTCAATTTAGACTTTTAGAAATTTTTCTTCAAATTTGTTTTGGGATTATCTTTAAAAGGTATTCTTAAAGGAGGTTCTATTGAGCTTGAGCCTTCACAAATTTTTAAATTTACTATTTTTAAGCATATATAATTGATAAAGAATGTGTCAATTAGGTTTGCACACAAATGTTATTATTTTCTTTTTTACAGAAATGTCATTTAAAGAAAATTTAGTTAATTTTATAAAAAATATTTTCTATTTTAGGAATCTTTGTACAAGCTTAATTAGGCTCTCTCTCTCTCTCTATCTCTCTCTCTCTATATATATATCTCTCTCTCTCTCTTATTTTTCCTAAAGAATTAAATCATTTCTCTTATGAACAACATTAACCACGTATCCTATGTTATTACAAGTCTAAAATAGAGTTATAATTTGCAACAAGAAAACACCCAACATGCATTTTTAGGCAAAATAGAACTAATCAAACTTGCATATAAAATACATCCAATTTTTATTTGAACGATAATATAAAATTCATCCATCATGCATTTGATAAAATAAAATTTATCTAGCTTGTATGTTTCATGGGTAAGTGTCAGACTACATAATTGTGCTGGCATGCATTTATCATTTTTCTCTCATAGTTTTTTTCCATATGAAGTATGAAATCACAATGGTTTTCCTAAAGCATAGTTAAGCATGCATGTATGTGTGAATGTATGCATGCATGTATATTATTTTATATTTTTTTTTAGAATTGTAGAATTGCACATGGAGTTTAACATGGGTTTAACAAACATAAACATAAGATAGCGTGGAGCAAAAGCTAGCATGGGATAATATGAAATTGCATTGGTGAATATCACATAACTACACATTTATATAGAAATTAACACATAAATACATTTCCTATAAGTTTAACACAAACACATGGTTAATAAGCATAAAAATTTAGGACACTCACATATTCATATCAAAACATACATATACCTACACACATGCACACATTCATGTCACACACATACACTTAAATACATTCACATATTTACTAACATACACATACTTAAACTAATTTATATGCATAGACACACATAGTTTTTCATTAAATAACAACCACACACACGCACACACACACACACACACACACACACACACACACACACACACACACACACACACACACACACACACAACACACACATTCCAACACTTAATCACATCAACACACACTTTTAAACTTACATGACACACACACACACACACTTTTACACATAATCACATTACACACACAAAACTTTTACAATTAATCACATCACACACACACTTTTATACATAATCACATCACACACACACACACACACACACACACACACACACACACACACTTAAGCAGAAAAAAAAAACATTCACATTAAATTATCACCCTCCTCTCCTCCTCTGTCATTTTTTATTTTTTGTGTGGGGCTATTTTTAGGTTAGGGTTATGTTTAACTTTGGATTTTTATTGTTTAAGAATGGTTTAGGCCTTAGTTTAGGGATTTGGGTTAGGTTGGGCCTCAATTTAAGTACTTTAGTGTAGATGGCTCGGGCACCCTAGGTTTAGGTCATATATGGTTCAGGTTAATCTATGCTTAAGTTTATGAGGCTTGTGTGTGGGTTTGGATCTAAGTTAGGCAAGGGTTTTGGGTGAGTTTGAGTTCTTAAGTAGGAGGGTTAATTGGTATGTGGTTTGTGGAGGTTTTGAGATAGGGGTAGATGGGCTTAAAATTAGTGTAGGTTTTGGGTTAGTTGCTTATGGTCTTCGGTTAGGTGCATTTCTAGGCTTGGGCTCTTAAATTAGGGTGGATAAGTGGGTTTGGTCTAAGGTTTAGGTGGTTGGATGGGATTGGTTTTCAAGTTAGATGGCTTATGTCGGCTATGATTTTGGTTATGTGTGAATTACTGGAGATAATGAAAGGATTATATTGGTAGGGTTTTCAACATAAGTTAGATATGAACAAAATCCTTATGATATTCAACATGGCAAATAAAATTTAGAAAAAAAAATAAAAAAAGCCCATGATTTACATCATGCCCTTGACCGTTTTAAAAGATATGAACAAAAGCTCTATGATTTTCAACATGGAAAAGAAAATTTTGAAAGAGGTGGTTTGTAGAGATTTATTCCTTCCTTAGTGAGTGATCTTTCTTGCTTGAATGATCTTCCTAGTCTTGATGTTCTTCCTTAGTTTAATAATCTTCCTAGCCTTGAACACCCCTTGGTTCTTCTCAGATTTGGTGGTAGAAAGGAGATAATGTGGAGAGGAGTTGTCTTGGGTTCTCAGTTTGGAGGGGAAGAGAGGGGAAAACTAAGAGGGAGAGGTGGTGAGGGGAGAATGACAAAGGTGAAGAGAGATTGGGTGGGAGAGGGGAAAGGAGTGAATGAATTAGGGAAA